TGCACATACACTAGAATATACAAATTCTAAACTCATCTACAGAACTGTGTTTTGGGGGCTTTTTGACTTCTCATATTTGAGTCTGATTACCTGTTCAGTAGGGTCGAACTGGGAAATCTATTGTTTACTCACACCTGTTTCGTCAGAGCTTACCAAAAAAATAATAAAATCCTGTTTTAAACAACTTTTGTCTGAAAATAAGACAGTATGATTATAGAACTGTAAAAATGGGCTTTGTGAACAAGACTTGATTATGTCCTGTGTGGCTGCTGGTCTAGAGAAATATTGACGATACAGGAAACATTCCCTATGGGTAGATTAAATCTCTGTCAGTCTCTCCAGATACCATTTTTATAACCTAGTAGAGAGCTAGGGAAAGATTCTGTGAGCAGATTCTGTGTTCAGAAAAGAAAATTTAATTTTAGGGAACACAGATCTAAAAGTAGTTTGAAGCATTATTGTTGCAGGCGGAAGGGACCTTTTCGTTTAGTTTCTTATTCATCAACCTCCCACGCTATGCTAAAAAGAGAAGGCATGCTGTGTATGGAGAGGGTTTCTCCGGGATTCCTATTTGGAGTGGAGAACAGGAGGTCACCTTGCTCACAGGGCAGCTTTCAGGGGGTGTGTAGTTCTCATAACGTGATGGGACAACGAACAGAAGTTCCTGGAATTAAAATATCCTTACCCTTATTGCTAACCTGGCCAGTGTTAGCTAAACGCTACTTAAGAGTAGTATTCTCATTTCTGATAGCAAAGTGGTGCTCAGGTCCTAAGTGGGATGTGCACGGAAGCAGGGAATCTGCCTGATACAATTTCAAAAGCCTTCCATAAGAATGGAATAAGCAGAATAATCTAATTTGATAGTGATCCGGAAGCAACTAACAAAGTCTAAGGGAATTATATAGAGAACAGAACATCTTGTTGTTAACGTGGCTGTTTTCAGTTGTCTTTGATTTGCAGATGGTCTTGTTTCTATTGTGCTCTGTTGTGGACACCCTGGAAATAGTCCCATATGAAGGGCCTGCTCCTCTGAGGGGTGGCTTCTTCTTTCAGGGGTACAGATTACAGGAAAGGGAGCACTGATGTGTGTGGCGAGGAAAAAACTTTAAGTCTGACTAATTCAAGTAAAGGGTATGCAGTGCTATTCACCCCCATTTAAAATAGCCAATGAGAATGATGAGATTTTTTTTTTTTTAAGTTCTAAGGAAGAAAGAAACAGCATTGTTGCAGTTAAATGTCTACATTCATTCTTTAAAATATATGCTATTAGAAATGTTCATCTGTGTTTGAATGTTACAAAAGTACAGGAAGGTGCTCTAAGGTAGAGTCACCTCAGTATGTGTATAAACATCTAAAAATTGCTGAGAAGGATCTAGAAATCCTACAGCATCATCCATAACGTCTGCTTGCCCATTTACGTGCCGGTGAAACGGGGCTCATTCCTAGGGGAAAGGAGGTAGAGGAAAAAGTTGAGCTACACCATTAAATATGGTATCTGTACACAGTTGTATTGTAAAATATATGGATCTGTTTACATGCTGATAAAAAGGCGGTGGTCTGCAGCAGTGATTTTTTTATACTATATCTAGAATTCACTAAGTCATACATGCAGCAAATAGGTTGAAGGAACAAAATAAGGTCTTAAATTTCTGTGCACTTTTTCATACTTGTGTCCTGCTGGATTTGATCAAAACCTATTATACGTGATCTTGTCACGTCTTGATACTCTTTTTCTACCAGCCAGAGTGTCTGTTCAGAGTTCTTTAAAGAACGGTTCTTCAAATAAGTAGTCTAGAAGTATTAACAATCAGTATTTTAATAACCTAACTGGATTGTGACTACAGTTACTTTTTTCAGAAACTTATGTATATGAAAAAATATTAGAGAAAATTCTTTCATATATTTATTTTTAACACATTAGTTTTCATTGATTTTCTTCTGCAGAATTTAGGTTTTTGAGTAGCTTTAGTACACTAAAACTGACAAATGTTAGCATATCGTTTTATGCTCAGATGTTCTCAGCATGATTTTAAAAGAGTTCAATTTATCAAAAATTTTTATCTTCAGTCTTCCTCTTCTTTCAGTTGTTTATAATCCTTTCCTTATCATGATTTATAAACAGTTCCCACACTTCAATTCATTTGTCTTTTGAGCATCCCTGCAAGATAGGAAAATGCTCTGGCAGGCGTCCCTGGTACAGGTGGGGGAAGCGCTGTTCAGATGGTGCAGTTCCTATCCTGGCCCACTGGTTCTGCTGGGTCAGAGATGTCTGTGCAGCTGCTGGAGTTACAGAGCCAGCTGTGTGAGCCAGCAAGTAAGGAATGCAAACTACAGAGGTTTGCATGATTTTTGCAGAGTGTGGTGCTTGGTGACGGGGATTCTGTACCACAGGTGAGTCTGGCTCCCTGCTCTGATCCCACTTAGGGCAGGACTTGGTCTGCAAGATGCCTCTCTTGTGGGCAGGATAGATCATTGCGAAAAAAGGAGGGTCCTATGCTTTCCCTACTATTGCTATAATACAAAGCCTGCTGGTTGAAAGATTGATCTCTCTAGAAAATTCTGGTTAACTGTCTTTATGATGGCTGTGTTTTTCCACAAGTGATACACTTGGTTTCTTCTGGTCGCTGTGGTCAATTTTCATAAGCTGCTGGTGGTTAAATCTTGCTGATCAGTACCTATTGATTTAGCTGCTCTGGTTGGAGGTTCTAAGTGTCTTGGCATTTTGTTACTACCCTTTAACTTTGTGGTTTGGAGCTGATGTGCAATAACTGTCCAATCTGGCTTCCAAGAAGCTCATAACTCCTGTACTGCCCATCATCATCACTCCCTTTTGAAACTTTTTACAGGATGGGTGCATCAGTTGCTCTGTTTCAAAGAGTGGCTCTGAACTTTAAGGCTCAGTCTGAGCCTTTCTTTCCCTGGGATACGTATTTGGATTGGCTTAACTCATGTTAGATCTCCAAAGAAAAGCCTAAAGGAGGCATTGCACAGGGTGAGCTTTTATCCAGAGATGGCTTTCTGCCAGCATCACTCATTTTCCAGATGCAGTCTCACCAAGCAGAGAGCAGCTCTTTGTCTCTAAGCATTGTTCCATTTCTAAGTCTCTTTATTTCAGGAGCAGCAAGGCCAATGAAATTCGTGTCCATATGGGCAATTATTTTATTTTTTTCCTGGCTTTTTTTCTTCTTATCTATGATATTACTAGAGTATTCTAGTCTGAACAGATTTTCATATGGTTCAGCCAGTTATAAACCGTAATAGAACATTTCTGTTCTTGCCCTTGCTGTCTTTCTGGGGGCTGCAGGATACCAGGTACCCACAGAATACTGTCAGTTGAAAACTTGCAAGCATGAATTTGCTTTCCACTATTAAGGGAAAGTTCTTTCTTACTACTGGTGGAATTGCTCCTCCCAAATAAACACACAGAACCAAGACTTGCTCAGCCTTCTGTTTCCTGTTTCATTTGAAATGGACTTAGCCAGAGCAAATCCAGACAGACAGTACCTTCTAGTTCTTTCTGCACCAGAAGAACCTGACAGAAAGAAGAAACAATACCTCTGGGAGTGCCCCTGTGTTGGTAGGAAAGACCAGCACATGTACAGTCTTTGCAGCTTGAGGATCCTGCTCTTTCCTGAGACCAGCGTGTTCGGAGGCCAATTCTGCCTGCTGTGACTGGGGGAGGAGAATTGGCTTCCTTCATCCATGCTTTCCATCCATTCAGTCCTTGAAGCTGTTATCTGTATGTTCACCAAACTTGTATCCATTTCTTCTTGGGTCGAGAAGTTGCACTCACTTCATGGAAAGTGTGCTTTGTGTGTTTAAATTTTGCTTGTAAGATAGAAGTACAGTGCTTTTCCTAGCTGGACTTTTCTGTGCCCTCAGGAAAATTAAAGTAATTAATTTCTAATGTTTTATTGAGTTGAGGCCTATATTGAGTAAGGTTGTGCTGCTTCAAGTTACGTGTTCCACCTTGAAGGAAGGCAGTACCTGGAAGAACTGTCTGTTAGGGCGTGTTCGGCTTTGATGCAACATGCTACCATTTTTCCATACCATTTTTCCGTTCTGTTTTATGACTTTAGTGCCTCTTTGTTACAGACGCCCCATCTTTTCTCACCTTGCTTTTTTCTTTAGTTATCGCATGCTGCCTCATTTTCTGGCATTGACTGTTGCTGTTGGTTTTCTATTGAAGTGGGATGGCATGGAGAGATACTAGAGAAAGAAATCATCATTCATTATTTCTTGTGTCAATTCCTATATTCCAGCTCAGAAATTTCCTCATTTTATTGTGTAGCAGTAATAGGCATTTCTTCATGACAGATTTTATATCACCTGAGCAGCACAGATTCTCTGGCAAGGTCAGTCAGTCAGTGTAAATTGAAATGATATCATGGGGGTTTTTCTCTCCCAACTCTTGACTGTTAGAAAAACCTGAATCCTTTTGGCCTGATAACAGGTTACATCTCATAAGATTTCTTTTCATCATGTGCTAATTTAGTTTTCAGATCCATGATTTAATTTCTTTACTTATTTTCTGACAGAATGACAAAAGAGTAGTACTGGTAGGATGGGAACGCGTACATACTTGCCTTTCACTTCTACAGTACTTTACAGAAAGCGAAGTGTCACAGGGTATTTTCCTTTAACACCTCTATGGAAATGCTTCTTCAGCTTGTGTTTAAAACACTGTGTAATAGTATGGGGCCAACCCCCTCTCCCCTCCCAAAGTACCAGTTTCAGCAGAAATATCATAGAGAAGGCTTATGTTGAAGTGAGCTTGGTGTATGTAATCTGAGAAGATGCTCCCAGTGATTAGTGCTACTTAACTATCCTGGGAGAGTTTCTCTTTAGCTTGAATTTGTGTTTTGTGAACTGTGCTGTGTGATTTTTTTGTTTAGTTTTATATTACAGTTATATTAAGTATATTAAGTAAGCCCTTAATTTTTGGTGCCTTTTCAATTTCAATTAGATTTCTAAATGAATGACTTTTACATTATTAACAGGACACGGAGCAGATGTGAAATGTGTTGACTGGCATCCAACAAAGGGTTTAGTTGTATCAGGAAGTAAAGATAGCCAACAGCCGATCAAGTTCTGGGATCCAAAGACTGGCCAGAGCCTTGCCACTCTGTAAGTTCATGTCCACGGACTTTGCTTTGCTCAAGTACAAGCTACCTGCATAAAACCACTGTCTCTTTTTAGCTTTTTGCCTCATGTCTTTTCAGCCATACACAATTGCTTCAAATAGAAAGCTAGTGCTTTAGCTGTGCCAGAAAATCTAGAGTAGATCAAGTCTGAACTCTGAAAATTGTGACTTAAATGTTCCTTCTTTAAACTGACTTTGTCTTTATTCATGGATTTCCTAGTCACACAGTTCCCATTTGAAAAACAAATGAAATATGTGTTTAACTGGCAGATTATAAATTTCTTGTGCTGCAGTAAAAACATGAACAGTAACTGAATTCTACCAATTACTCTAAAATACAAAGAAACAATATCAAGGCCCAGGGCCTTTGCACAGAGAGCTGTAGTATTCTGGTTTAGTGGCCTGAACTAAGCCTGCCCAGGTCTGGGCTCCCCAGTACCAGAGGGACGTAGAAGTACCAGAAGGAGTTTGGAGAAGGGCTCCTAAGAGGATCAATCAGAAGACTGGAGCACCTGTCACACAAGGACAGGCTGAGAGAACTGGGCCTGTTTAGCCTGGAGAACAGGAGATGGGAGATCTCATTAACATGTATTTGAATACCTTAGGGGAGGGTGTCAAGAGGATGGAGCCAGTCTCTTTTCAGTTGTGCCCAGCGACAGGATGAGAGGCAGCAGGCACAAACTGAAGCACAGGAGGTTCCGGCTCGATAAAGGGGGGCACTTCTTTACTGGGAGGGTGACAGAGCACTACAACAGGTTGCCCAGAGAGGATGTGGAGTCTCTTCTCCAGAGATATTCAAAACCCACCTGTATGCCATCCTGCACAAGGTGCTCTAGGTGATCCTGCTCTGTGGGGGCATTGGACTAGATGATCTTCAGAGGTCCCTTCCAACTTCAGCCATTCTGTGATTCTGTGAACTACTTTATTGCCGACCTAAATATTTGCAACTGGTAAATAATCATGTCTGATTTATCTGAGAAACTGGTTTCTGTACAGTGTTTTTCTTTCTGTGCTTGCAGACATGCTCATAAAAACACAGTGATGGAGGTGAAACTGAATCTGAATGGCAACTGGCTGCTAACTGCTTCTCGTGACCATCTCTGCAAGCTCTTTGATATTCGTAATCTAAAAGAAGAACTTCAGGTCTTCAGGGGTCATAAGAAAGAGGCTACAGGTCAGCTTTTCTTACATTTTGTGAATTTTTATTAGTAAGTTTGGATTAAAAATGAAAGTTTTTGAGATCCTGATTTACATGAATTAGGAGTTCTTGCATTGTACTTTCTGATTGTGGCTTATTTTGTGTTTCAGCTGTGGCCTGGCATCCTGTTCATGAAGGGCTGTTTGCCAGTGGGGGGTCTGATGGCTCTCTGTTGTTCTGGCATGTTGGGTACGTGGCATTTTTACCAGCATATCGGAAAAGATGTTGATCAGATGTGCAAGCCATTATACCAAGCATAAAATATACTTTTCACCTTTGAATGCATGTGTATGGTATAATTTTGCTCTGTCAATGAGGATGTTTGTGAATAGGCTTCACTTCTGAAGTTGTTCTGTGCAGTTATATTTTAAAGGATACAATAGCTCATACAGAAAGTAGTCTTTCGCTGAGGGGGTGATGAATGATTGAAGTACCTAGTTTCTTAGGGTTTCTCATGAGATGTTGTAATTTTGCTTTTAAATATACAGTTAACAAAATTATATATATATATATATATATATATATATATATACAGTTAAAAAAAAAATCCGATGACTGAATTATCTGCTAAGTACATGCAACAGAAAAAGAATTGAAATTTTTAGCAAAGTAGGGGACAGAGGAATAGGAACAACTGAATAGCAAAAGTTTTATATTGTATCTGTAGCAGATATTCATGTGTGTCACGATTGATATTTTGATGCATCAGGGTTGAGAAGGAAGTTGGTGGAATGGAAATGGCCCATGAAGGAATGATCTGGAGTCTGGCATGGCATCCCCTTGGACACATTCTCTGTTCAGGCTCAAATGATCACACCAGGTATTTCAAAGTATTTAAAGAAAAGATCTAAGGGAAAGTACATGCATTTAGAAACTGGAAGGGTGCATGACATTGGTGAGCAAGAACAGATCAGGTTGGTTTTGATACACAACCTGTAGGGGAAGCAGAAAGAAACTTATTTAAGTGGGAAGGCACTGATGTGTTTTACATGAAAAGGTAGAGTGTTGTCTCACTTACCTTTCACCTAAGGAAGCCTTAAGAAATGAAAGGTTTGGGGATTGTGTGAGTTCTATACAGTTCGATATGGTAATTGTTGGGATTTTTTTGTTTGAACCTCAGAGTTCAGATGCAGTGCTGAACTTGATAAGGCAGAGTTGAACCCTTGTATAGTCAAAAAATTAAAATTTAAATAAACAAGCAGTAATTACATTAAAAGTACTTAATGTTCTTGACTTTCTACTGAGATCATATCATTTCCCTTCACCAACAGCAAGTTTTGGACTCGAAATCGTCCTGGAGATAAAATGAGAGATCGTTACAACTTGAATTTGCTGCCTGGAATGTCAGAGGATGGTGTGGAGTATGGTAAGACAATTTCCATGAGCATGGAGAAAGGAGAGTTTGGGGTTAGGAACAAGCCTAGGGCATTTAGCTAACATTAGAGTGCAGTTTCTGGGTAAGGTGATGAGACAGTATAGTATTGGTGACTAGCTAGATAAAGATATCTTTTTTTTTCTTTTACATAAATAATCTCATTCTCTGTGTTATCAGCAAGCACTACTCCAACAATTTGTTGTCTTTTATTCCACAGCTCCAGGAGGTAAGATGTGCTCTGTCAGTCACAGAAAGGAGGTTTGGCTCTCCCTCTGGCGCTGTCTCCAGATTACTTTTCTTCTTGGAAACTTCATGTGACTGCAAGACTTTCCTCAGTCCTGAACTACACCAGGAAGACCTTTCAAATTATTCAACTTGACTCAAATCTTTAAAATTTTACCCTCCTCCCTTTTAAGAATTCTTGTAATTTTGTGCTGCTCAGGGTTGCCCAGCTCTACAGCATTGCCTCAGCAACCTTTTTTAATTCCCAGGATTGCATCTGTTTATTAACGTTTCTTATTACTTGCCCCTTTGGGTTTGGGAATGACAATTAAAATGCATTATTTTAATCTGATTTAAATTTTAAACTACATGCATTTGTTATTGCAAAAATGGGAATTGGTATGAGATGATATTTCCTTTTCAGACCCCCTACGCTAAATATCGTTTTTCTTAAAAGTATATAATGTCTGTTCTTTTGGGGTGTTTTATGAATCTGAATTGTCAATTCTTTTAATATCTGTAATTAATGTATGAGATCTAAAAACTGACCCAGCAGCTGTGAAATGCATAATGGTGAGAATGTGAGAAGCTGAAAGAATTTAAATTATAACGTAATGAAAAAGTTTTTGAAGTATAAATACTTATTGTTTTCCTGTAGATGATTTGGAACCCAACAGTCTAGCAGTTATCCCTGGGATGGGAATACCCGAACAATTGAAAATAGCCATGGAGCAAGAGCAGATGGGTAAGTAGCAGCTATAGGGAGGCATTTTCCTGAGCCATCCAGATGCTGTTTGACTTCTTTCATCCTTTCATATAATTGGGTAGCACAGCTGTTGTTTTCTGAGGTTCTTAACTGCATATTTTCAATTGAAAGGAAGAGTTGAGAACCTTGTGGTCTCTTCTGTTAAATAAACTGTAAGGAGAATAACAAGATTACTCTGTAACCTGTATTGCACCTTTTGTCTTTCCTGGTGTTAAAGGGAAAGATGAGTCCAATGACATTGAAATGACAATCCCAGGACTGGATTGGGGAATGGAGGAAGTAATGCAAAAGGACCAAAAAAAGGTGCCACAGAAAAAAGTGCCCTATGCAAAACCAATACCAGCACAGTTTCAGCAGGTAAGTACTGATAAGCAACAAACACTGGAACCACTTACAATCCCAGCTTCAAAAAGTTTGTGGCTGTTGGAGTGTTTGGATTTCTGACATAATTTCTTGTATCAACATCCAGTGCAAAATAATTTGCCACATTAGTTAAATGATTATTTAAGGATAAAATATTTTGTTAAATACCCTGTATCCTGTATCTGTACCTTAAAAGTTTATAAGATATGGATGTTTTATTCAGCCTAATCTTCAGCTTCTGGATATCCATAATGTTCAGCATTCTGGCATACCTTTTCCCAGTGCAGTGTTATGTTATATTACATGTGTAGCATTCCTTAGTATTAAGTTTACTTATTCTGCGTAGGCATGGATGCAGAATAAAGTTCCCTTGCCTCCCCCACCTGAGCCACTGAATGATAGAAAGGAAGATATTAAGCTGGAAGAGAAAAAGAAGACACAGGCAGAGATTGAACAGGAAATGGCAGCACTTCAGTACACAAACCCACAACTCTTGGAGGTAAGTACATAAACCCAGTTATTCATTGGAGCTCAGCACCAAGTGTGTAGCTTGCTTTTACAGTCTTGTTTTCACTTTTTCTCAAATGTGTCTAATTGAATGAGAATTGGATTCAGTGCACGATGCTATGATGCCACCAGTAAGGTTTCCACATTTCAGTTAGTTATACCTGTTTATGACTCTCTGTAGTTGTATTTCTGTTAATTAAGAGGACAGTACTAAATCTTTCCAAACTCCTTAGGACGAGATAGCTGCTTCTGATTTTTAGTTGTTTCATGTTTTTCTGTGCTTAGTTGATTTTCTGTGTCTCTTTTTCTTTTTTGGACAGCAATTGAAGATTGAGAGACTTGCACAAAAACAAGCTGAGCAAGTGCAGCCACCACCTCCAGGAGGTTCTCTTCATGGACCCCAGCCTTTTCCAGGGCAAGGCCCAATGTCACAGATGCCTCAAGGATTTCAGCAGCCCCTTCCACCTCAGCAGATGCCAATGAATATGCCTCAAATGGGACCTCCTGGTCCACAAGGACAATTCAGGCCTCCAGGACCCCAAGGACAAATGGGACCTCAAGGTCCTCCGTTACATCAAGGATCTGCAGGTCCTCAAGGGTTCATGGGACCACAAGGACCTCCAGGCCCCCAGGGGCCTCCACAAGGAATGCCACGGCCTCAGGATTTACATGGACATCAAGGAATGCAGAGACATCCTGGCCCTCATGGGCCAATGGGGCCTCCAGGTCCACAGGGTAATGCTGGTCCACAAGGCCATTTAGGACCACAGGGCCTACCTGGGTCTCAGACTCATTTAGGACCGCAAGGTCCACCTGGCCCACAAGGTCACCTGGGTCCTCAAGGTCCACCTGGTGGTCAAGGATTGCAAGGGCCACCTGGTCCCCGAGGAATGCAAGGACCTCTTCCTCATGGCATGCAAGGAGCTCCAGGATCTCAAGGGATGCAGGGTCCTATATCACAAGGGCCTCTGATGGGACTTAATCCAAGAGGGATGCAGGGTCCACCAGGACCCAGAGATAACCAAGGACCTTCTCCACAAGGGATGATGATGGGTCATCCGCAAGAAATGAGAGGCCATATGCAAAGTGGTTTACTAGGACATGGTCCCCAGGAGATGAGGGGCCTACAGGGACCCCCGCCTCAAGGTACAATGTTAGGACCGCCACAAGAATTGCGTGGGCCACCAGGTCCACAAGGCCAGCAGGGACCTCCACAAGGCTCTTTAGTAGGGCCTCAAGGAAACATGCAAGGACCTCAGGGACAGCCGAATCCTTCAAGGGGGCCGCACCCTTCCCAGGGCCCTCTGCCTTTCCAGCAGCAGAAAACGCCTCTGTTGGGTGACGGGCCTCGTCCCCCGTTTAATCAGGTATGTGTCAATCTGTATAACAAGGAGAGTGTTCAGAGTGTAGGAACGATAATGTCATGTGGTACAAATGCTGAGCAGGAGCAGAGGGTCTGGAGGTTAAATGGATTTACAAGATCCGTTTAACAAGGTCCGCCTCGGGTGAATCTAAATGATGATGAAAAAAGTTATGGAGCTTGGAAACAGCAGGGGTAACGGGAGAAAAGGATTACTAGAAATGCTGATAGAGAAATCAGTATCTGTTAGGAAAAATGTAACCATAAGAGAAACTCCAGATTTTTTAGTTTAAGGACACTGAACTGTCTTAAATGTGGAATTTCTTAGGGATGTAGGTAAGCACTAAGAAAGGTTGAATTTAAGCAAACTGAACATAAGAAATGTGTTAATTAAAACAAATTACTGTTGACTCTGAGTTGTCCCAGAGTACTTTATGGGATGAATTTACTATAGATGCTGACACACCTGGAATCAGCGTAGGTCTGGTTGAGCTTTCCAGTTCAAACTAAATGCACAGGAGCATAACTATCCTGCTTCCTACACTGGTGTAGAAATTGTTTCGCCACCTTTGTACCTTCTGGGCCACGAGTTAAGAGATTGGCTCTGCGTACCTGAGCTTGTTACTGCACCACATGCTGCAGAATGCAGGGAGAGGGGGCACGGGTATTGGGCAGGGATGGGTAGGACCAGCGGGTTGGCGGGGTGGGCACTGGGCTGGAGCTGCTGTGCTGGCCATCAGGTGGCCCTGCATGGTGCTGCCACGGCACTCAGCTCCTGCAGGGCTCAGCAGCTCCGCAGTGTACCTGCACTCAGCTCACCTGGCATACTGGAGAGTGTTGTTTGTACAGGCACTGATTACATTTTCAGGGATTAAGTCTGGTTCAGCACCAGCCCATCAGGTGCCGTCAGGTGTAACCTGCTGTGCCCTCTTCAGCACCGTTATTACGGGGTTATTCCATCTCGTAATCACCAGAGATGCAGAGAGCTTACTGTACTTACTGCTCCTTACAAGTTCCCTGTTATCATGGCGCTGGTTTTGTACTTAAAACTTCCTGTTTATCGTCAGCTTTAAGGTGAATTTTGAAGGGGATGTTTGGGAAACAAATCTACTTATACGACTTTAAGTAATGTGGATTTTTTTAAAACAAAAATAACTCTTCGACTTGTACTGAATGGTTTCTAGCTAAAGCTTTGGACAGATATGGATATACTTTGTGTGGAGTCCGGCACCAATCACAATAATGTGTGATGACGTTGAAATGAACTTTGTCAGTGGTTGGACTTGAGAGATCAGAGTAGCCTACAAATTGTGTATTCGTTTGAGTATTTTTTCTTACATATCAGCAATAACCTCCTGGGGACATCTGTAAATGTGTCACTGAGGTTTCAGAAACATCCAAGTTAAGAGAACAGGAATTGGTCCCACAAGTATTACTCATTTAATGCATGCTACCTGTTGTGGGTTTTGCTGTTATCCTAAGGGGACTAATTTATCTGTCTAAAAATCCTTGCTGAGCATGTGTGTGTTTACATGCATGTGTTGGGCTGTCCTCGTCTGACCCTGCTGTTAACACTTGGGTCAGAATTCAGGAAGTTGCTTGTGACAGATGAACAGTTATTTTCACTAAATACTGCTCTCTGGAAGTCTTAATACTAAAAAAAAGAAAAAAAAAAAGTTGACCATTTTTTCCTTCCTTTTAGCTTTAGGAGGCTAATGTCTTTAGAAAACGAACAGATTTTAAAATTCATAATGTTCCTGTCAGGTTTTGGTCTTGTTTGCTTCTGCGTAATATGAATATAATGGTAGTTCCCTACCTTGGAAATCTTTAACAGTAAGCTTTGACTTTTTTTTGGTCCTAAATTTGATATTTCTCTCCTGTAAATTTGTACAAATTACTGACCTTCCTTTGCAATAACAGCAGAGTAGGAATATTTATTTGCTTCATCGAGGGCTTTGAAATTAATACTGCATATTTGTAAAGGTTAATCTCTGGATAAGATAGCACCGTTACCTGCAGAGGTTTACTGCAGATGGGTAGGCGAGATGCACATCTCTTCCTGAACGTGGGATCTGCTACTTTCTGCAAATACCTAACGGAACAGAAAGCTGGTTGAGAAGGAAATTGACTGAGATATGGCAAAATTGTGTTCTGGAGACGGGCACGTTGGTACTGAAATGCAGACAGATAAATACAGAGTGTTGCCAGTTTGGCAGAAGTACTTTGGAGCCTTTTTTTGCTATTGGTAATTCAGAATAGTTGATTGTCCCATATCTAATCCTTCTGGTTAGACGTGCATCTCACTTGCTGCTTAGGTGAGTCTCATCCACGTAGTGGAAAACTTTGGGAACTTGTGTTTTAGTTGAAATGCATTTTTTTTTTTCTTTGGGTCAATACAAAACATTCTTTCCCCCTTGGGCGCATACGTTTAACTACTACAGCTAGCTGTCATGAAGTGGCTGTGCTCTTTGCACGCAGAGGCCAGACAAGCCAGTAAGGTGGAAGAGTTTTGTTTGCTTCTCCAGCTTACCTGCACTGTGCAGAACCTCAGCACGCCCCAGGGAGCCCCAGTCAGGCTGTGCAGCAGCAGGAGGCAGCTCAAACACGGCCGCTTCCAGGGGCTGGTGGCAGCTCTGGGTGCAGTCCGTCCTTCCGAGCTGTGCAAGTTAGTTTTCCGTAACAGTTTTGGGACCCATAATGTATTTTAAAATTAAAAGCATGTAAAAATGCATTGTGACGGTTCTGTCTATCTTGTCAAAGCATAGTTTGCTTGGAATAGAGGGTTTTGGCAAACACTAGTGAACTTCTTGTAGCGAGTACTAAGAAATAATGATTTGGTTAAACAGTGACAGTTTAAGTTTAAGAAGTTCAAGACTTTATTGTTAGTTAACATATGTTAAATACATCAGAAATTATAAAACTCCAGCAAGGTTTTGATCAGGAATGGCAGAAGCCCCGTGAGAGCTGGATCTTTCCTAGACAGGCATTTTGTTTGTCCTGGACTCAAGTTCTCATCTTTTCCCTAGGAAAGTTGTGTGCTTTTTTCTTTAATAAACATTGGAAACAAGCCTTTGTTTTCCCCCCAAAATGCATTACAAAAATACTCAATGCAGAGGTGATGTTTGTAGTACATGTTTGTGTGCTTTTGGTCACCTATACTGCAGTTCAATATAAAAGTTTAAGAATATAAAAGCAGTATATAAAAATGGCATTTCAAGCTATGATAGGAAACATGCTCAAATGAACTTCCTGCTACTCTGCAGCGCACAAAAATACACCCAAATAGCAGGATTTCTCAAAAGTAGGTTCAGACCATGAAAATCATTTAACTTCGATTCCTGGAGAGCTGAATCAGTACAATTACAACAAGGAAGTGTAGTTGTCAGTGTATTTGCAAACGGCCTGCATCTGGAAGGTTTTTACCAGCCAAAATAAAGGCCAAGTCTAAATCTCTCATTTTAAATGTTTTAGGAAAAAATACTCTGTGTTTAGGGTTCTCTTGTATGTGATTTAGGGGGCATTTTTTTTGGTGATATCAACGTAAAAGGTTTTGTGTACCAGTCGTGCACATTTCAACTGTCTTGTTCAGTGATACATTTTCATTGTTGGATAATATTGCTAGGCAGTAAGTTGTGTACATGCCCCTTTCTAGTTTCAGTCAAATACAGTCCCCAGGTGTCAACTTTTTATCTGGCCTTTCCTGCTGAAAGGCAGAATGAGACAGTTCAACCACCTTGTTTCCCAGCCATGTTTTCATATTGGGTCCAACGTAATTTGGTACCTGCAGAGAAATCTTTCAGGGGTCCGTAACAGTGGTGGAATTTAAAGAACATTACCTTATCCTTCAAAATCCACAAACAAACAAAGAAGATAAAAATAACCAAAGGCTTTACATCTACTTTAGTTTTTCTTTGGGATGCTGAAAGTTCCACAAACCTCTGCTTACTGTGTTTCTGCCTGAGAATAGCAGGTGACTGCAGCTTCTGCTTTTAGACCTGCCATTGCTTAATAACCCATTAACAACTTGTCTTGTTGTGCTTAGCCAAGCATCCTAAGGGTTTTAATACTTTTCTTTTGATTTTAACTTTAAAATCAGGAAAAACAAAATTGACCACCACGTTAAAAATTAAACTCATGTATTTCCATGTTAAGCATTTACACAAGTTTAGAACAGAGATTCTCTGATACCACCAGCAGTAGTTGGTGGTTATTCCCCCACCCCAACATTGCTAATATTCTTATTGTTTTATTGTTCCATTTTTTTTGTTCATTTCCAAAGCAAGCTTTTGGTCCATGTAGCTTTATAATAGCATAAAAAACAGTACTTGTATTTTTCAAACAAACATACACAGTTCCCTTGTCTTTTCGAACAGGCAGATAAAACGTGAGCTTTTATCATCTTTGGTTGTCATGGATAAAATGTTAGTCTTTGAAATGTTAAATTTTCTATAAAATTATATATGCTGCTCAGACAGGGAAGGAAGAGAAAAGTGTTAGTGATGTGAGCCTCTGAAAAATGAGGCTGAAACCACTGGGAAATCAGCTGTTCCTATTGTAAGAAGATGTGGTCTTTGTTTAAGCAAATAAATTTGGCTCACCCCCTTAGGAAATGCTTAAAAGCAAAAATGCTCATGCATGCTAATTCATATGGTTTCTCCTGTTATATGCTAATAGGACGGACAGAACCCAGGTCCTCCACCACTGATACCAGGACTGGGGCAGCAGGGAGGACAAGGTCGTCTCGGCCCTCACAACCAAGGACCTGGTCTCAATAAAGGTAATTAAATACGTTGTCTGTTCTTCTGTGAGTAATTCTCCAAAAGGAAGCTGTTGAAGTGCAGCGCTTCTAGATAGAAAAGGGTGCAGCAGAACAAAGGGCCTTTGCTGAGAGGGAAGCTTCCGTAGGCTTGGGCTGGAATACAGAGGAAAAGTTTTTCCCCAAAAATTGTTTAATGTGAAATGTGTGGTGTATGCTTTCTAGAACTGTACAAACTAGAGCATCCTAGAGCATTTTTAGAAAACATTACAGAAATCTGCTATGATTTTTTCCCTCAAGGTGACTCCCGTGGTCCACCAAACCATCACATGGGCTCTCTCTCAGATAGAAGGCACGACCAGAACAGTGGTGGTCCTGATCATGGGCCTGAGAGAGGGTTGTTTCGAGGTGGCCAGGAGTGGGGTGATGGTAGAGACAGCAGGGGCATGCCAGATAGACGAGGACCTCACCCAGATTTCCATGATGACTTTGATCGACCAGATGACTTCCGTGACGACTTCCATCCAGATAAGAGATTTGGCCATCGATTACGGGAATTTGAGGGGAGAGGAGGCCCACCATTGCAAGATGAGAAATGGAGACGAGGTGGACCTGGGCCTCCCTTTCCTCCTGATCACAGGGAATTTGAAGGAGGGGGTTCAAACCGTGGCCCTCCTGGTGCTTGGGAAGGAAGGAGACCTTCAGATGATAGATATCCACGGGATCCTGAGGATGCACGGTTCCGAGGAAGACGAGATGAGAGGTAAGGATATGTCAACTCCTTGTTTTTGGGTAAGGGGTGAATGGAGGGAATTCTTTTTTTCCTGGTTTCCTTGTCATTAAGGAGTCTATCTGTTTCAGATTTATAAACTGGAAACCAATAAGGAAATGAAAACTCTAATATACCTGAGTATAGAGTCCATAAAATCATTCAGTAATAGAAGAAAACTTGAAAAATGGTCATTGTACACAGCAGCTTCCGTGTCTGTAAACAGTAAGTAAAGAGAAGGGAGGAAATTTGTAGAGAAGATCCAGTGACACAGGATGAAGATTTGAGATCGTTTTGATGAAAATTGAGAGGAAACTTGAAGGTTAAAGTGACAGACTTTTGAACACTAGAAGTGGAATTTGAGACTTGTCTCCAGTCACAAACCACAGGATGACTGTGGAGACTGTAGAATGAGATGTAATATACTTGTAAGGAGCAGGAACAGTGATCCTACTATCAAATATAAGGGGCAGAGCTACAGCATCTGTTGGACTGTTGAGACTATTTTCTCATGTTTTTGCTTGTAGGTATTTTATTTCTCTTTCTGACTGATTTCTTAATGCCAAACGAAGAACTCAAAAATAATCTAGTTTATAGCAATGTCCATGTCATTGCTCGCAATTTCCAAATAAATCACAAAGGGATGACTTTGCTTCTAGTTATTACTGTAAATATGGAGGAATTACTCAGCTGGCAAGATTACCTGTCATTGAAATTGCTCCAGATTTATGCTAGTTTAATGGAGTTAAATTTGGCCTCCCAGGTCTAAGCCTCTCACTGACCACCAACTCCACATGTATAAAAATGTGTACTTGTACAAATATATTGTGGTCTCCACATAATGTGAATTTTGTGTGTTTTAGTTGCCTTTTTAATCATTTTCTTACATTCCTTTTACTTTGCATCTATACAGCTCTTCTTTTAGCTATTTTCTACCTAGCTCTGTAAAGATGTACCTTCCTTTTGTGTGAAGAGTATGAAAAGAAATGAACAGTAACTAAAAGAAGGTAACAATTAAAGCCATTTAAAAAACAAAAGTTAAAATAGAATCCAAGCTGAATGGTCTGCATTATATAATTCTAAAAGACATAGCAGACGACATTTTTAGAAGCTCAGTAGAGACTTTTGGATCTTATATTGGAAATGTGTAGGGACTGGGAAGTATTTTTTTTATTATCCTGATTTTAAAAAGGTTTCAGGAAGAGAGTCCAGGAATGTTTTGACCTGTGAATCTGACTTCTGAACTAACAAGAGTCTGTTTGTCACAGTGCAAGTGTTTGGTACAGACCATTTAGTTTAAAGAGAGTCAGCACAGGGCTATAAAAGGCTTATTGTGCTTACAAGCTTAATGAATTAATCTGAGTGAAGGTGAATTAGATGCCATTTACTGCAGATGCTCAAGTGAACCTAAGAACCCCAGCTACACACTTAGCTGACTTGGTTTGGAATTTAGATTGTAATTGGTTTGATCAAGCATGAGAGGGAAGTGTATGTATGTGTGTTTCTCTCTAATTTCCCGTCCTTTTCATCCCTGTCCTGTTCTTACTCTACCTGTGCCTATCAACACGATGCTTCTACCGCAGAGACCTGCCTCTTCCTGCCTGCTAATCTGCAGTGTATAGCTCTGTACATTAAGGTCCTAGGCCTCAAGGAAGAAGATCTGAGAGCAGTCAAACAGGAACTGAGCCCTATACAAGGCAGGGTTTTACATGTGACTGATATAAAAAAGTGAAAAAGGAGATACAAAACACAATATTAGGAGCTGTGGCTATGTCAGGCATAGGCATGATAGATTTCAGAGCTAAACTTTGTCCATGAGGTTGCCTGGAAATAAAAGGCAAGGCCCTATTCCTGGTAGCCATGGGACCTCGTGTTGCAAATCTTGGTAATTTACAAGCTAAGCAGAATCACACCAAGTCAGTATTAAAAATGGGAGACCCTCTAAAGAGTATCTAGAGGACTGTGCTGTTTCAAGGCTAAACAACATTGCTATGTGGTTATTTGAACCATTTGTACCTGAAACTGTTCAGTTTGTTTTCACAAATAATCCAGGTTAATGTAAAATGGTTCATTGTCCATATACAGCACTCCCTCCATCCACTGTTGCTGTACAGGCACAGCAGCCTCCTTTCTGTATTGTGTTTGTTTTCTGGGAGGTGGAGACAGACCTATTGTTTTTAATTAAAAAAAAATGTAAAAGTTTAAAAATATTGTATTGTGTTATGACTACTGTTAAAATATTTAAATTTGTAATTAAAAGGTTAATGTTGTTAAAATTCTAAATAAAAGTATCTAAAGTTTTGCTTGTAATAGGATGCACTGTGTCGTTAATGAGCTGGGGAAGGGGATGCTGCACAAAGCCACGACCACCTGAATATTATGGTGCTGCAGTTTGGCCAGTGTGGAACTGGGAGAAGAGGGGAGGTGGGGGGCGGCATCAGTGTGAACGGGGAAAGAGAGAGCTCAGCATTATCACTGCTGTCACTGAGGGGTGGGCAGGAACAGTGTGGGAATGCACTGTGAGGACTCCCAAAATATTGTGCCTGCGCCACCTAAACATCCCCCCTGTGCTCGCACAGAAATTGTAGGAGCTGAGCTGTAACCTGAGAGAGCCCTACCAGCTGGTGGTACTGCACACCTCGGGAGTCACAGTAATACACAGAGCATGTATGCAGTCTGACAAGCACTACAAGTGTTTAAACTGGTACTGTAAAAACCAGACCTGCTAGCATTCATGCAGCCATCTGTAGGCTTACCTGAAGTGGCACTGACAGTTAAGAAGGAACCGTTCTCCTCTCTGAAGGTCTGTGTTTAAAGCCCCAGTGTGATACTGGAGGAACTATACTGATTTCAGATGAGACGCAGAACCCAGTCCTATCAAATTACTGAAGATGCCATGGTACTTACAAGAAGGATATTACTGACTTCAGGCTCATAACTACATTTTGCAAAACAAAATTATTTGTTATTGCGGTTGGATAAGCTGCTCTTGAGGTTGTAAAGGCCACTGTGCACACTGCTCAGCGATCAGCATTCCTACAGAGCCAAGTACAGTCTAGAATCATTTCCTGAATCTGTAAACTTTAAAAAAAAATCCTCTAAGAATGGGATGAATAAGATAATGTTCTAGCGAAAGAGTCCAAAATCAACAGGAATTTATGCTGGAATGTTCACTGTAGCCTCGACTCTCATTGCTTGCATTTTTTCACTTTGCTTTTATCAGTAAAAGGGAAGGGAAAGTAAGACCATCACAGCTAAGGGAAATTCACTTGTCTTTTTCCTTACCTTACCTTATACCTATCATCACTCAGTGATTTTTTGTTTCCCTTTTCATTAAATTAATGCAATATATTTGACAATATTTTTTCTTGTGTGAAAAAAACGACACAGCAGAAGAAAATGAGGAAAAATATTAAAACAAAGTTCTCAAGGGCAGAAAATAAGCACTTTTCCACCCACAAATCCTATTTGAATGATTGTATGGTGCTATAAGTATTAAGTGAAACAGTTCAGAAAAGGATTATTAAGCTGAAGCTGTCTCAAGATTATCCATGTAAATTCTGCCTATAAACCACCTTTGTACCATGTTCTTTCTTGTAGCTTCAGAAGAGGAGGACCCTCAAGACATGAGGGCCGGGGACCCAGGGGGAGAGATGGCTTTCCTGGTCCTGAAGATTTTGGGCCAGATGACACTTTTGACTCTCCAGATGAAAATGCAAGAGGAAGGGACCATGGTGTTCGGGGGCGAGGTCGTGGTGCACTTAGAGGTGAGGGGAACGTTCTTCCACACTGAGATACAAGGATAAGGAACCAAAGACATTTCTTGGGCAAATTGCAGTAGTTTCATTAATACGATGTCTCTTCTCATTCTTGTTCCCTGCATCTCTTACTGCTCAGGGGGCCGGAAGGGTCTACTTCCTACTCCCGATGAATTTCCACGCTTTGAAGGTGGGCGGAAACCAGAATCCTGGGATGGAAACAGAGAACCAGGTAAAAAAAAAAAAATTAAACAAATGTATATATAAAAAAAAAAACTTGAGGTTTGCTTCTAATAATAGACTAGACTTCTAAAACATAATCACTTCAAGAAAAATGTCACTATTTTGTCTGTACTTATGCTCACTGTTAGTCTTTTATCACCAGAGAAACAAAAGGTAGTTCCTTGGACTTCTAACTTTAGAAAACACTTAACTGTCCACAATTTTACTGTCACTAAATGCAGCAGTCTCACTGAATAAAAAATGTTTGTGGTTTTAAAATCTTAAGTTGAAATCTTACACAGTCCAAAGCTGCATGTTGTTTTTCACCTGTGGGTGACTGAGGCATAACTTGTAGATTTTTGAGATATATATTAATGCCAATAGGAATCTTTTGCTTTGATGCCATCGTCTTTATTGTTTGCAAAAATAGTGTTTTTAGCTGCAACATGTGACAGCATATTGATATGAATATTTGTGTTACTAAAGGAACGTATATAATTACATATAGGGTCAAAACTGAAATTTAGAATGTCATGGAAAAAACGAGCACAAATGACACGTGAATCGTGAAAGGAACTTGTGATCATCTCTAAAATGCGTGAAAATATACTGAAAAGAAAGCTTTAAATCCTTCACTTCTTTCTTCCTCATCGTCTTTTAAAACTTTCTTATCTTTAGATTTCTTGCAACTTTTACTTATCCAGTGTTTGCTTGTTTGCCTTTTTAGCAGGTGGGGGAAGCTTTATGCAATTCTAACTCAAAATTTTGTGCCCTATAGCATGAAAAGTGTGTACATTTATATGACTGCCTCTGAAAATGAGAGAGAATGATCAGATGAACACTACTTAATGATCCTGTTTTTTCTCATGATCAGGTCCTCGTCCAGATCATCCTCCTCATGATGGGCATTCTCCAGCTAACCGAGAACGTTCTTCTTCGCTCCAGGGCATGGACATGGCCTCATTGCCACCACGTAAACGTCCCTGGCACGATGGACCAGGGACCTCTGACCACAGAGAAATGGATGCTCCAGGTGGACCCCCAGAGGAGAGGGGCAAAGGTAAAAAGTCCCTTATATTGAAAACCTTACGTAACACTGGCACATTTTTCAACAGTAGTCTCACTCAGATTTTTTTTAAGAAGCATAAACTCTTGACATACACAACACACAGATGCAGCTCTGGAACTTAATGTTGCAGAGTGTTTTCTTAAATAAATTTTTAAAAGTAAAATACTGCTTTTCTCTTGTTTGAAGCCTGTCATTCACTAATTTAATTCATTGATGTCTTCCGTTTTAATTGATCTTTATTATCTCTGAATGTCACCTCTTACTGTATCAAACTTCATGTTTCCAACCTGAACTAGCTCTTCTCCATGTCAGAGCCCTGATCTGCTCATCTTTTGTCTCTGGAACGCTGTTCTGTATCTTTTGCTATCCTTATTACCTTGCCTGTATCTTTTTCAGTTTTAAATGGGGTAACAAAGAATTGCAGACACTATTTAAGATGTGGTTTAACCATTAATTTCTTCAGTTCACTTGGTTTTATTGTATTTCCTCCATTCTTTCCTAATAGCTCCTGATAATCACATCTGACTTTTTAACTATTACTGAACATTCACGTGACACTTTTCTTCAGTTAGCTACTGCAACCCACGAAGTATTTTCTTTTGAGTCTAAGAGCTGGTTCATAGCCTATGACAGTTTCCAAAATAATCTTAGCCCCACACCAGTTCTTGGCCCCTTTTCTTATAAATCTGATTGCCGTTATCTTTTTAAATAATGTCCTTATATTGATTACCCACTGTTTTGTAGCCATTAGTAACCCTGATCCTTCACAGTTGCTTCCAAATGTTGAGCTGCCAGCCTACAGTTGACATTTTTGTCAGCCCTCTGCTGCACAGCTTTGCCTTTGATGCCATTCAATGTCATCCTGCTTCTGTTATTGTAGTTCTGAAGCTCATCTAGTTTAGAGTGTATGCCAATCCTCTGTGTGGACTGTATTTGCAATGTTGTATTAACAGCAGGTTTCATCATTACTTCATAGATGTTCTTAGTAAAACTCCACTGGTAAACTCCCTCTATATCACTATTTTTCCTTTCAAAACAGAACGTTGTGTTTTCCCAGTTAGCCATAGCGTGTATGTCCATAAAGCACTTTTACCATTTATTTTTTGAAAACATTGCTTCTGTTATTTTGGGCTAATGACCTGTTTGTTTGTTTTTATTATGATTTTAACTTACATATCAGTACTAAAATGATCTATGAGAAGTAGAAAATCCTGACGTTCCTGGCCGTAAGAGCTTGTGTAGTTTATATTCACACATAGTAATAAAATCAAGCATCTTCCCATTATTTCTAGAAAAAAAAAAAAAAAAAAAAAGGAATCTAACAGTAACATTACTCATTGTTCTCACCACCAACCTCAACTGATCCATCAGTGCAATGTTGTGTTTAGGAGAAAAAAAAATATTTTGCAATAAACACATACAAAGAACCACAGATAGTCTTGAAGGATAACAATCAGGTATGCCTGGCAGTTTTGAGGACACTATGACTATCGTTGATCTGACTTATTTAAGTACTTGCTGACTAGATCAGACATATCAGACATATCAGACAATCTCTTATAATCCCCAAAGAATTGTTTGATTGCTGTCCATCTTCTGGACTGTCACGGAGATACTGAATCTATTTAACAAAAAAATGGATAGAGGGAGCAGGCAAAAAACTGTAGGTCTCAACTATATTCAATTTCTGACTGTTTGTACCACCAGAGAGCTACCTAAGCAACAGTGTGTCTGAGAAGAGGTATGGCTTCGACTTCAAAATCAGTAACATTGTGCTTCATTTTTAGGACGTGGCAATTCAGGACCATCACAGAGAGTGCCAAAATCTGGGAGGTCTAATTCTTTAGATGGAGACCATCATGATGGATTCCACAGAGATGAAGCTTTTGGTGGAGGACCTGCAGGAGGCAATAACCCTTCTAGAGGAGGAAGGAGTGGAAGTAATTGGGGAAGAGGAAACAACATGAACTCTGGTCAGTCAAGAAGAGGAGCATCTAGGGGTGGTGGAAGAGGCCGATAGAAGAGGCTTTGACTGGGTCACACCCAGTCCTTGCTGGACAATATTTAAATAGACTGCTACTATGGACTCAAAGAGAAAGTAACCCTGCAACAACACAAACCTGGATTCTTAACTGGGATAACTGAATGTGCATTAATTAGTTCCTAACAAGGGTCTTTTCCTAGATCAGCCAACTGCTACTAGCTGCAGTATTGCAGCTAGCTTTCTGTTTTGTCCTCTCCATCCCTGTTTTCCTCACCTTCTTTTACCTACTTTGTTTTGTGAAGAGCTGGAATTTTTTTTAGTGTTGAGACATGGAGCACCTCCACAGATTTCAGTTCACCTCCAGACAGAAACTTGTTTCTATATGTACAGTTTGTCAGAAGAGTTACATTGTTTTTTTTGTATGAATACAGAATGTAATTTGTGCAAAAATTAACAAAAAAGTCAACGCCGTGTGATTCTTTACTCACCTATTACTATAAAGTGTCATCATTAAGCAAACTTGTGTATCAGATGGAACAACAGAACTACCTCCTGCAATCTCAGCTGTTTAAAATACTAATAGCTTATTCCTATTTTTTTGGTTTATCATGTATAGAGAACTTTTTTCACCTTTAGACACAGCTGTCTATGAAAACAAGTGGTGCTGACGTTAAAATTCCAAAACACAGGAAATCACCGCTGCTTGCTAGTCTATCACCCTGAAAGAGAAAAACGTGGAACACCGTTTAGAAAAAGTTGTCATAGACATAGTGTGAGTTATAACCTGGCCCACTAGCAAAACAGACAGCATGACAAGTCATTCTACACTTCATCTGGGTGAGTCAAATACATGTGTTCGCAGGAGCAAAACACTTTACACTTAAAGGAATTGGGGAAGAAGTTTCGGAGCTTGATTAATATGGATGCATATGTTTTACAGTGGCTGTAGCATACATCGCTTAAAGATACGGGTGTCCAGCAGAGTGATCCATTCAAATACTGAAGTGCAAACCTTGATAGTTGATGGCTTTCATCTTAACATTTCCAAATACTTTTAGGGTATGGTTCCCTAGTTTTACTGGGGGGGAGATGAGCAGAAGTTATTTGTATTTCCCCCATTTCATAATAAAGCTGCTTACCAACCACGACTTTCCAATTTCCCCATAAACTGTTCATATCAATCGTCTCCAGTCACCAGGCTCCTTTAATGTCTAAAGCCTGAATGAAAAGTTTATTACATAAGGACATACTCTAAAGGCAGCTCTCAGAAAGGTCCTAAATTAGAAGTATAGGACATAGTATAACAAAAACTATCACTACCTGTTTTTTTTTTTTTTTACTCTCTCCACTTGAATTTCAAAGAATGGTTTCAGTTGGAGGGGACCCTAAAGACCACTTAGTTCCACCCCACCTGCCCACGGCCCAGGCTGCCCCCAGCCCCGTCCAGCCTGGCCTCAAACACCTCCAGGCATAGGACAAACACAAGCTTCTCTGGGCAGCCTGGGACAGTGCCTCACCGCCCTCATGGTAAAGAATTTCTTCCAAATGTTTAATCTAAATCTACCATCTTTTACTTTAAAGCTGTTAGAATATTCATGATAACAAGGCAACGTAGCTCTGTAGCTGACAAAGGCACTGCAACAACTTAGCAATACACAGCAGCTATTTTATCTTGACTTATGCAGTCACATTTTTTTTTTAAAGACTGACTTAAGTCCTTACGATCTACCTTTTTTAAAGAGATCAAAGTGTAGATGCTAAAATGCTGTTCTCTTGATTTGGTCATGGCTAGTTTTTTTTTCTTAGTTTTTAACTTGTAGTGTGCAAAATGGCATGTGAAAATTACAGTAATTAAATGAAAGGAATCTGAAAGGAACTGACTGGGGAAAAAGCTGATGTGACAGTTTTTCCTTTGAGGGAAAAAAATACGTTGCTTTTACCTCTACCTGTAGAGGGGCTGTGGTTGCTTTTGGTGTAGGATTGCTTTTAGGTTTTGATGATTAATGCTGACAATTTAATCATCAGCAAAGGAGAAAGCTTTTTTTTGTTTGTTTTAATATAAGCCCTATGTATATTGCATATGCGGCTGAAAGTGACTTTGCTAGTAGTTAGAATACTTGATTTAGAGGATGAGCTTTTGGCCCTTAATTAAGCTACAGTCCTCTGCAAAAAAAAAAAAAAAAAAAAGTACCTAGTAACAGGCAACACAGGTTTCTGTATTTAGACAAAATGGAAAATGCTTATTGTACTTGGTGTTACATTCTTCATGAGTGCCAGCTTTTTAAATTAGGTAGAATTTTTGAGATACTCTGTGGCCATGGAAGGTGCAAAACCAGTCAAGAGATTAACTGGATTAGCTAGCTTTCATATAAAATCTTGAAGACCACAGCATATCAGAGGAGACAGAAGGTTCCCAGTCTGACTGCTGAAAAATGGATGAAATTATTTAATGGGAATATGCTTCTGTCCTCTCCAGGTGAAGTTCTTTCACCAGCACTGCATGTAGAATCCTTACACTCTACCTGCTAGCTTACAGCTTCACCTTGTCTAACACTTACTTTGATACTGATGTTAGAAATAAGAATAGTTTTATATACTATAGCTTAGGAATTATAAAAGTGAGAAAACTAATTTAATGCTATTCCAGATGGCTCTGACCTACATTTTTAAGGAAAAAAGTGACCAGTAGTTGAATGTCTATACTGACATTTGGTACACAAAGAGTTTTATTAAGACAATCTAGGTACATTTAAGTACTTCCATTTAACAATTTTGGTTTAATTAAGAGCAGCTATTATGTTGATAGGTTAAACCCTACATAGCGATAGTGGACGTGTATTGCAGTGTGTGGCTCTGTGTTGTGTGTGAGGCACGTACACTCAACGAGACAGCCACTGGGGCTTGGAGTTGGTTAGGCCAGGCACTCCATCTACCTGCAGCAATGCACTGAAGTACCAAGCACTCACCAGGGACCGCCAGCCACCTTTGTACAGCTGCTTGGTTTCTGGATTGAAACAGAGCTATGCTGGCTGAAGCAAGCTCTGACCAGCAGCAGATCTGTTTTTGAAGGTCATGCTGTGACAGCAAGCGGTTCCTGACCAGTTTGAAAAAGTGAAAAAGAAACATATATCCAGAAGAAAGTCTTAAAAGACGAAGCTATCCCTTTGTGGTCCGAGTATTTGGTACCTCACAGCAGCTGTACGGCAGCCCTAATGTTAGCACCTGCCACTTGCCCACCGCCACGCAAGCCAGACTCCCCTCACAGCTACGGCTAGGCGTTGTGACCCGCAGCCCCACCACGCTTGGTTTCACTTACTGGACGGCATTTTAAAGACGGCTTTTCTCTATGCAGTTTATGGGCACGCAGTGCTCGTGTTCACTACGGGTCCGGGCTGGCTGACGGCTGTGCCCGGGTTTGTGTTCGGCCCGCGGGGCTCAGCGCCAGAGCCGCCGGCTGCGAGCCGAGCCCCGCTCCGCGGCCGGGCCGGGCTCGGTGTCCGCGGGGGCTCCGCTCAGTTCCACGCGGGGCGGCCGGGCCGCCGCGTCCCGCTGCCGCCGCTCTCACTCACGCTTCGCAGCAGCCACGCGGGTCCGGTACTCGCGGGGGGGGCCGGGGCTGCGGGGCTGACGGCGGTGAGGCGAGGGGAGAGGGGGGGGGAGCCGCGAGCAGCCCCCGGCGGGGGGCGAGGCGAGCGGCGCGGGCGTCCTCCTTCAGCCTTCCTCCTTCCTCCTCCTCCTCGCCGGGCTCACAGCGGCAGCACCCGGCGGCGCAGCGCGGCGCCCCCGAGCCCTGCGAGGCGGCGCAGGCCGGCGGCGCCCCCGGGCAGCGCGTCCAGGAGCGCGGCGGCCGCGGCCCCGAGCTGCGCGGCGGCGCCCAGCGCCGTGAGGGGAGCGCTGCGCAGCCCCAGCGCCGCGTACAGCGTCCCGCACAGCGCGGCCCCGTACAGCACCGAGCCGCGCCCGGGCCGCCGCAGCAGGGCCGGGCCGCGCAGCAGGGCGGCGGCGGCCAGCGCGCAGAGCGAGCCCAGGGACCAGAGCAGCGCGAACTTGCGGGCGCGGAGCAGCAGCAGCGGCGCGTACAGCGCGGCCAGCCCGAAGCAGAGGGCGGCCAGCAGCGCGCACAGCCCGGCCGCCGCCAGCCGCTGCCAGCGCGACAGCCCCGGCAGGCACGGCTCCGTCTCGGCCGCCCAGGGCCAGCCCCAGCCCGGCCAGCCGCCCGCCCCGCCGGCCGCCGCCTCCTCCTCCTCCTTCTCCTGCTGCTGCTGCGGGCTGGCGGCGGGCGGGCCGGGGGCTTGGTGCCTCGCCAGGTAGTCCCGCAGCTGCTGGCCCAGGTCCGCCATGGCCGGCTCGCCCCCGCCGCTACCGCGCGCCGCCCGCCCGCCCCGCCGCCATCTTACGCGGCGGCCGCATCCGGGCTCGCATCGCGGCCATCCGCGGCGGGGCGGGGCGGGCCGCGCCTGCGCCGTGCTGCCAGGCGCTGAGGCGGCACCGGCACCGGCGGCGGCGCTCGGGGGCCGCCGCGGGAGGGGAGCCCTCGAGGCGGGGGCGAGCCCGGTGAGCCCCGCGGGGGCGGCCGGTGCGGGTGGGCAGCAGCCTGGCACCGCCCCGCGGCTCCTCAGGCTCAGCCCCCGCAGCCTCACGTTGCCTCGGGGGGGGGCTGGCAGGAGGCGGGCGCTGCCCGCTGTGAGGCGTTCAGGTGCCGGGGGAGACAAAAGCGGATGGGCTGACTGGGAGCTCGTCTGTGTGCGCAGCCACAGACCGACACCCACCCCTGTTGAACTGTTGGCTGCTAATTAACGAGGTTGCCTCTTACCCGGTTTCCAACCAACCGTTAAAATATGAGCATCGATCTCAGTCCATTAATTACCCTGCTTTAAACAAAGAACTAAAGATACTCAATCCGTTACCTGCTCAAAGTATTAAAAAATACCAAGTGCTAGGTTAACCTGTATGATTCTAAATGTTCACCGGAGGGCTGAACAATGGGGTGTTCGGACACCACGAGGCGCAGGGAGCACAGTTCCCATCAGCAGCCCCAAGCTCAGGAGAATATTTGTGGCAACGGTGGGTCACACCGCAAGGGGCTGCCTCACGAGATAAAGTTTTAAAGCAGGCTTGGACAGCAGCTCCCTGCCCCGTTAGCACCGCGGTACCCGCCGGAGCTGTTGGGGCGCCCAGGACACGGCTGGGTCCCTGGCAGCAGGGGCTGGGTGCCACAGGAGCGGGGTCCCGGCGGGGGATCGCTGCCGCCTCGCTGCGTTTCAGGTGGCCTCCAGGCGGGTCTGAAGCGAGCACAACGAGTGTGGGACCCCCGTCCCGGCCGGCAGGAGGATTTTTTCCTCGGGAAAATGTCCCGCCTGGCTGCCCAGCGCTAACTGCCCGCCGGGTCACGGCTGCAGGACCATGGCCGCCTGCCTTCCCCCTCCAGCACCGGAGCGGGAGGCGGGCCTGGCCCCGCCGCCTCGTTGCTCAATTTTTCTTCCCTTTATAGGAAAAATATGCGCGGGGCCCGGGGGGGGCTGCCCTGAGTCACCGGGGGCCGCGGCTGCCGCCCACGCCCAGGGGCCGGGGCGGGGTCTGCGCTGCCCGCCGGGGCCGGGACCGGGGCCGGGGCCGAGCCGAGCCGAGCCGAGCCCCGCCGAGCGGCCGGGGGCCCCGGGCGCGCCGCCATGACGGGCAGGTAAGGCCGGGGCAGCCCCCGGGGCGGCTCCGCGGGAGCGCAGGGCCGGCGGTGGAGGGGCAGAGCCGGGCGGCCCCGCCGCGGATCGCCCCGGCCCGGGGGAGGGCAGAGGGTGGGACGGGGCCGGGAACGGAGCGGTTCTGGGCTCAGCCCCGCTATGGCTCGGGCCCCGGCAGCCCGCGGTGCCTCACGACCCCGCCGCACAGCGAGCGGCTCCTCCGGCCGCTGCCTCCGTGACCTCTGCTTCGGGCTGGCCTCGCGGATACGTGTCCGAGCAGTCCTTAAATCTGGAGTTTGGGTCTCCTCCCGCGCTGTCTGACGCCGGGGAGCTCTGTAATGTCCCTGAATTGACAGATGTAAACGAGAAAAGCAGCGGGGACAGCGTTTGCTCGCATCTTCTGAGGGGTCGCACAAGTGCTTTAGTGTCTGATCGCTTCTTTTCCCGTCCGTAAAATAAAACCCAGACATTATGAAGCAGTTTGGAAACAAACTTGCTATTGTAAAGTATCTTGAAAGACATGAAGAAATAATATCAACAGTAGTAGGATGTTTTTCTAAGGTGGTCATCACCCTGAATCCTGCTGTCACCGTGATCCTAAAGCACTGTTATTTGTGACCAGAAGCCCTGATACAGGTCAGTTTGTCTCTAAGTACTCGCTCTCTTGTGTAAAGTCTTGATGTCTGGATTGTGCTGCTGCTTATAGTCACTTGATGTGTCTCATATTTGGTGGGTTGCTAAGTATGCGCTGAATAGTTCTGTCCTCATCTATCATTTTGATCAGTGTTATTTCTGCTGTCTGTGATGACAAATTGTTGTTGATAGGTGGTGGTACGTGCTTAAAAACCTTTGGTTTTTGCCTCCTGTCTTAAGGTTATTTTTTTTTTCTCTGTCTAAATGACCACTTTTTGTTCTTCTGATGTGTCACATAGGTGTGTATTTGCAAGTTCACAGAAATTTCTCAAAACTAGAGGAAGGCTGAGGTCATGGTACCCATGCAGCTCCTAAATAGAGACAAGAAAGGGAGGACCTGGGAAGTGTTGTCTGTGAAAACCCAACTTGCTTTATTCCCATACAGCTTTGGTGTGGGACTGTTTAGAATGACATGTTCACCTCGGGTGAAATCAGGCAACTACAGGGGACAGTGGGAAATGACTGTGCACAGCAATCCTCATCTTTTCTCCTGTGCTTCTTCAGAAACTTGCCTTTTAAGTTATAAGAAATTATTACTGTGTTCATAAGAAGCTCTGACATGAAGCATGAGGCTGGGTGGAATGTTCCAAGGAAGCTGAGCAGGGAGGGTAGAGTGCACAGTTCTGCAAAGTAACGCAGGATTTGTCTCCTTTCCTTCCAACGTACTTCAGAGGGTTGTTAAAGTGAGCAGGCCTTGGCTTTGCTTTTGAAAAGTCAATTGCATGAATCCAAGTGTTACTTAAAGTTTTCAAAAACATTTATACTGGAAAGTTTGTCAATTATGAACACTTGTGAATTTCCTAGGACAGAGCGATCATCTCAGACTGGCTGTTTCTCAGCAAAACGAAACCTGCCTTTGGTTTTCAGTGTCTGGGAAACATTGGCACGGCTCAGCACCTTGCCTGACTGATGCCGTTTGGCGAGCACCATGTCCAGCAGTGTAGGTCTGACACCTAAGTCATGGGAAGGAGCTCAGCATGGAGAACAGGCTTCCTCGGACCAACCCATGGGTCACTGAGCTGAGCTCTTGCTAGATGTTGTCTGATGTTTGTTACGTGGTAGTTCTCAACATCTGCCTACAGTATGTAGACATGTTCTGAAACTTTTGACGTTGAGGGCTTTTGAGGTTCCAGAAGGAGATGAACTGCTTCACAGCTGGAGCTTCTCCACAACATTGAGCAGTGGGAACCTTCCAGAGGCAGGAATACGACATAAATGTGTCTCTAGTCTTGAAACCGTTGACACACCAAAGGGGATGATTTTGTTTTGTTTTGCTCTGTAAAGTGAGGAAGACTGTGGGGAGGATGTGCAGGGCTGAAACGTAATTATTTTTCGCTTCACTTTTCTTGTCAAATAGGAACAAATACGGACTCACCGTTAGGTACTGTGATTACTGATGCATTATTAGTGATTAAGATAGGTGAATAATTAATTTTCATTTTGAAGTGTTCCGTCCTTTTTAGCTGCAGAATGTGTCTTCTGAATTTAAGTAGCTACCGTAATTTGATTTACTGATTTCTAGCATTAGGGAAAAATGCAGTTTCAGAAAATACAAAGAAGGATGTGTACTTCTATATATTCATAGTATGAAATTACTAAAAATAAGTGACTATTTAGCAAGTGAAATCCAAATACTGTGTGTATCCTATTGTGAGCTTACATTGCTCGTATGTGAGGATGTGTTTTATTAGAGAACACTGATGAGCAGATCACTGGAATTTGCAAATGCTAGAGCTGAATGCCATGTCTTGTCAGAGCAGTTTTGCTTCCCTGTATCTTGATGTTAAAGTAGCTGTTACAGCCCCTAATTCCAAGAGTAGTCTGTGTTTTAAAGGGATGCTGGCAGCTTAAAAAACAGAACAGCCTCTGTTTGAACACAGCTGTTCCAACTAAGATCAAAAGATAATAGGACAAAAGAAATTAGGGAAATATATATTAATTTTACTAACTTACATATTGTTTAACTACGTTTTGAAATAAACTCTGAAAGATAATGTCTATTGATAAGATAATGTATATTGATAAGATTGTACAGATAATGTGTATATATATATAATATACATACATATAAAACCAGTATGTTTCTAAGCAACCTTTCTATATTTTGCAGTGGTGAGTAAAATGCAATTTATATGATTTTTGGTGCCTTTAGCACCAAATGCTACTGTACTTCTTTACAACTAAGTGCATGAAGACAGCTTCAAATCAATCTTGCTTGATTTGGTGTGTTTGCTCCGTCTCTTAGTTTTTGCCTTTTTGAGTATTGTTTTTTTTTGTTTCCCTCTTTCCCTCCTGTGTTTTGCCTAGTTTTCTTTGTTGGTTGTGACAGAATCATTCCTAAGAAAGAGGAGCAGTGAATGACCAGTGGGCAAAACATTGTCAAATGCTCAAAGTAGGAAATAAAACAGAATTGAAGATAATTTTATTAAGACTTTACTGCTGTGCTGTTGCTTAGGGAACATAAAGGTAAAAAAATGCCTGTGCTGTATTGTGTTGCCTTTGGAAATTAGTATAAAGATAATAAAAAGCCCAAGGAAAAACGTTCCCTTAGTGCATGTTTCAGGACATAATTATTTTTGTGAGAGATCTTTGTCATCACTATGCTTGGTCTAATTGGGATCTGGATACGCCTATGTACTTCCTGCAGTCAACAAAAGAAGAACAGCTGCATTTACAGATATGCTTATTGATTGTTCCTAATCCAGTTGAGGTAAGAAATAAGGGTATATTATTTACAATTAGCCAGTTTTTGACTAGGTGCTTTTTAATTCATTAGAGAGCTGCTGCTGTACTTGTGCTCCATGTTATGAAGTAATTGCAAGTAAAAAGGTTTGATGGATGAGGAGGAGGTGAGAGTATAAAGGTTGGTAGTATTTAAAAAAGGTTCTTTGTGCAGGATAGAAAGTACCTGGATCAAACCAATAGATGTCTCATCTGAGTTATAAGCAGCCATTTCTACTTCTGGTTTGGAAAAAATGTGGTTTTAATATTATAATTTTTTCCAGCTAAGTCTGTTCTCTGAGGCTCTCCAGATGTATTTTAACTTGTTGAAGGATCCCTCATAGTCTGTTCCTGGGGACACAGAGGTGCTTCCCTGAGAACTGCTTGTTAGTGCCTAAAAGGAATCTAGCTGCTTTTTGCTCTGCTTTGGCCCAGAACATAATCTGCTGTAAGATTTTGTCATTGACCCTCTCCCTTAAAAGTGATCCTTCAAGAGGGAAAG